GTTAATCGATAAAAATCGATATCGAAAATCAATCGATTCAAACTATCAATCACCGATTGTTATCGATTGATATCTGCAATCTATCACAATCGAACTCACAGAAAAATTTCTTTATCGATTGCTATCGATTGACAAAAATCGATAACAATCGATAATTCTTGTCTTAAGGAATATCGATTGTTATCGATTGAAAAACAAATCGACAATAACTAGCCGGACTATTCAAAGATCAGAAAGATGCCTTTGTTATTGTGTGTAGTTGACACAACAGCTGCCCCAGCCGTACGATTATAGCTTGCTTTAATTTATTTCCTCATGTATGATTCTGTTGTTATTGATTTCTTTGTCTTATTAGTGTTTTAAGCTTTCCCAAGTATTGTTATCTCGTCACTTAGTAGGTGAGAAAGTTTACAACATGAGCGGTAAGCTAAACATACCGCTCACGTTTTAAGTTTGCTCGCCTAGGTGACAAAAACAACTCCTTGATCACTCCTCGATACTTTAGGCAGTTTTCTCCCATTACCTTATTATGAGATACCACAATTTTTCTCGGGAGAAATTATATAAACCACAACAAATTATGAAAACATTCAACGTAGGCCACTTTTAAAATTCATTAAAATGACTCGACTCGAATGTTTGCAACATACAAGTAATTCAAACGATAAAAGTCTTTCCGCTTCGATTTCTTGATGCTTTTCTAAGCAACTCCGTCAACTCTTGAACCTAACTTGAGAACGACCCGTTGAATAGTGGAAACGTTATTTTTAGCCTGTAGTTTTATCAAAAGTCTTGTTGAGTCGAGTGTAACTTTGACAATTAAAAATCTTTCCCCTGCTTGGGTGTGCTTAAACTCTATTGAACATGGATTTAAAAGAATGCAAACTCCTCAAGTGCCATGAACCGCGAAAAAACAAAGATGTTATCGATTCCAGATGCAGACCAAACGTTTTGATCTTTCAGCTGGCATTACAAGACCGTAACTCTTAGCGCTTTCAAACAGGAGAAAATTGCTCTTTTTTTGTTGACATTTAGGCTAGCTGAGCCCGGCTCGTTTAAAGAAAGCAAAATGTCTTTTGCGTGACTTAGAATTATAGTTAAACCTACTTAGTAGGGCTTGCATGGTTAATGCAAATTTGGGTGGAAAAAAGATGATACATTTTTGCTGCCATACTATTTTGGAGGAAACTAAGAAGTATAAAGAGCTTGGAATTTTGCTGTTCTAGTCGTCAGTTAGAGAACCTGCACACTGATAACGTAAAAGAAGATATTGAAAATTAAAAAAAACCTTCTTCAAGGAGAAATTACCTTCATCAAAGTTCTGCTTGAGATGACTTCTCGGTAGAGCATTTCTCCCTTCTGTGTAAGTAGTGACTGGTTGCTTACAAAAAAAGTTGAAGTTTAAACGAACCGTTATGTAGTCATGTGTGGCTTTTTTTCGTCTTCTCGAGGACCCTCGAGCTGTAGAAGATGCCCTGTCATGACCCGAATGTGGGAAAAAGTCATTCAATATTCGCCGTCACACTGGATGGTTTTGCAGGATTAATTTAGTCTCTTGTTTTCACGGTTGCTGCTCGCATTGAGGAACTCTGAAGCATGACTCCTCAGTATAACTTATTGGTGACTGATTTGAATAATCGCTGCGCCCTTTTCAACTGAGTGGAAAGCGCCGTAACTTGAAACTAAGTAGTGTTAAAAATACTGAGTTAGTTTTTAACTTTGTTGACCTTATTTAACCATTTTCCTGGTCCGTTAAATGAATACTTCAATCAGCTGTTGTTCAGTTGTCGCATGATCAGTCTGCGCGGGTTCACAAAAGTGTAGCAACTTCTAACAAATAGTTTTGAAATAATTATTCGTATTGGATTTCTCTTATTAGTTCTCGTGCTTTGATTCCCAAGAAGAACAATCAGAGATCACAGCAGACAAGGACTCAAACACAGTAAGCGTTAAGAAGCCCCAGTTTAACTAACTATCAACAGGAGCCATAATCGATTATGGCTCCTGCTATCAACTGAAGGCAAGATCCCAGGTTAGGCTTTGGTAGATTGTGCTAGCATAATTTTTAGCATAATTTAGAAAAACGAGCATAATTTAAAGCTCTTGGTACAATACCTCTTAGGGGTTCTTCGCAAAATTTCCGGCAAGCACCCCTGTCTTTTTATATGTGAGTTCTCCTCCCCCGGCGGAAAAAAAACTATTTTCCGTTTGGTCAGCATCAAGAAATTGAGACTTCTGGGAGAAATCGGAAGGGGACCCAGCACTAGACACGGCGGTTACCAGTCTGTCCCCAGAGGCCGCGCTCCTTTTGGTCAACACCAAAAATCGCAACCTCTGACCGTAAGCGATATTCTAAGCATGCGCAGAGTATTCTTTTCTGAAATATGGGTCTTTGACTGGAACCGCATTGCGCGGTAATACAGCCCGAAATGATGACGCTTATTTCATCCTTGCTCAACATAGAGTCTCCAGTAGCTCAGTGGTTAGAGCGTCCGGCGAGACCGCGGAGGATCGTGGTTTTAAATCCCATCTGGAACTCAGATTTGTTTCCGAGTTGAGGTCATTTCTACATTTGATATTACTTGTAACGATTGCAGTTATTTTTTTCCAGAAAATCAAACTTTTTTCAAATCTATTTAACAATTAGATCCGTAGCCCGCAAGGGCTACGGGTCAATAGCCCATGAAATGAAGCCGAATGGGCTATTGACCCGTGGCCCTTGAGGGCGAAGGGTCTAATTGTTTTAGTATTACCCAACTAGTCGAACAGAAAAGGCAATAATAAAGTTAGCAAATGCAAGTTGAAGAAATCTTTATTGGGGAATAAAACGAAAGAAAGCGTCACGCTCGATTGCGCCAATTTCGCTACTCGAGGACTATTACTAATAGTCCTCTAGTAGCGTAGCTAATTAAAATGCAGGATTTGCATTAGTCCACTAGTTGGGTGATACTAAATATAACTAACACAATCACGTTACATTTTAAACCAAAAACCAGAAAAAAAATTGTTGCAACCACAAAATGAAGGTTGACCAATACACATAAACAGTGTCCAATGGAATGGTACATAAGCCATTGGTATTCCATCCATGATATGCACCTCATGGGGACTTAGAATATTTCCAATGGCTTCAGGCTGAGTAGGGTTTCATTCTACTCGTCCATTGGTACCAATGGTGCAACTTCTTGAAGGTTTCCCTCAGGGACCGTAGCCACATTCCTCTAGGATTTCTTGTTTTATTAAGCTTGTGAGGCTCACGTGTTTATCAACGATGCCAGCACATAATTCGTAAGTAACTCCTTCACTGAAAGGAGCAGTTATTGGCACTGACACGTCTCCAGTCGGTCATAGTAACAGCACTGTCATCTATTAAAGACCTCGTTGTGCAGGTTTTTGCTAAAGTGCATGTTTCTCAAGTAAGCCCTGACATTCCCCAGCGGGTGGCAGATTTAGTCGGCCGGTGTCAGGTCACAATACAGTTATTTTACATTCTAGGTGCAAAAATATGTCTTTCATAATGTTTGGTATACATAACAATGTATACTAATTGCTCTGGTTTGGAATTAAATCTTAGCAACGAGAAAAGTTTGAAAAAGTAGTGTGTTGTTAGGTGAAATCCCGCCTTAAGCCTTGATCTTAACTCGTTCACTGGTGTTTGCGCATTTACTTGACATCATAATGTTCAAGTCAAAAACTGGTCTAGCATCGATCTATCAAAGAACAAACCATTACCAGTCACCTTCACCTTGAGACACCCCCGATCGAAGACTGCAGTCGTCTTGTCCATAATTATACAAATCACTCAGAACAAATGGCTACCAACGCAGGCAAAATGAGAAGACAGGAGGATCTACTGGCAGTTACTGATTGCGAGGAAAGCCAAGGCGCACCTTGTAGTCTTGGGTTTTCTCTGCCACTCTACAGGTAATATAGCATGTTTGTATTCTGGATCATGAGTGTCAAGCACTCGTAACTGGGCATCCCCACACACTTCTTCATTTGATACTCGAACCGGAAGAAGTAGCTTACTTTTACTTCCGGTCTGTATCGAGAGGCATAATGCGTGCGGAAGAAGGCCAGACATACGGCCAGTGGACTGAGGAAAGCGCCAGACGAATTTTATGACCAGCGGCTTCAGTATAGGCAGTGGAATCAAATTTCACCTGCACTTGGAAGATTTCATCAGGCTTCAGGGCCTGGATATTTTCTGATGAATGGCCACTGTGATGTGTCAAGTTTAATAATCCTGAAGGAAAAAATAATAATCAACGAAGGGAACATGCAAACTCAACCTTCCAGCCCCACCCTACCAAAATAGCTTTATTTGTTTTTTAATAATAATGTTTCTTTTAGTGATATGAACATTGCTTCTCTGGTGATCACTGTGGTCTGGCAGCCTAATCGTTTCATACTCCACCGCTAAAACAAAGCACTCGCGTCAGCTACACAGACGAACACATTGGCCACGGTACAGACAAATGCATCCCTCCATCACGCGCTTCACCCGCTCGTTTTTTCCCCTTCCCTCCCTTCGGAGACCTGCCATGCAGGCTACGCCGTCGGCTGTTACTCTTCGTGACAGACCTAATCTCTGGCGAGACAGCAGTAATCCTAGCCCTCGATGTGCCGATTTAACGTCAGGAAAAATAAAATTAAAATTGGAATTGAGAAAAAGAGGCACCGACAAAAATTTCATCTTTGATATTTCTCTCCAAATAAAATTTTGTCCAAACATGAGACGACGACGGTGCAATAATAATCCAGTCTCCGGATCGACCTCACGCAACGCAGGAGGATTGCGTGACGACCTAAGTGGCGGCTCGAAACCAGTACGCTTACGTGACGTACTTGTATTTTGGTGAGCGTACCGCTGTTCGTCTCGTTAGGGTCGAGGTGAGTTTTGTCAACTGTTCCTTATGTGTGATATATCCATGTAAAATTGTTTAGACCTATGATATGATTTACTTTAATAGTTATTGCAGCTGTTCTATATTATACGCTTAATCATCGTACTTGAAAATCCGCAAGATTGTTGGATGAGCAGTAGTCAGTAGTCTACTCTGCAGGGTCTCCTTCGATCTTCCAAAGGTACTATTAACTGTGGATCTTCTTGGAAAAACCGGGATGAAGAAGGAGACTCTGCTCGCAGTGTATCAGTAATCAGCACTGTATTTGGGAATTTTGCGAGGTATGCAATGATTTACTCACAAAATTGCAAATGGGCTCGCATGCAAACTTAAGACTTATTAACTTACAGTGCAAATTTTGACACTGATAAAAGGTTAGTGATTTAAGCAGCTTATTAAACCAGTCCATTATTTTATGATGAGATACTACAAACCACGCATGCAGGGACCACTAAATAAAGAAACTCTTACAGCGGCTTATTACCTTCTAGACTGTTGCCACGAAGCTCTTTAGAACCCCTAATGTCATTGGATCTTGTTAGCACAAAGATCTTTTGTTTTAGGGCTATGGTCCATTGTTACTGTTGTTTATATATCATTTTCTCAGCCAGTCCTGTGAGACATTCCAAAGAGCCTTGTGGCGACCCCTTCTAGACAGCGCAAATCATTATGTTGCTTGCTGTGAATCGAATACCATTGGTTTGGATACCAATGAGTGATGGCACAAAACTGGCAGCTAAACTCTGGATTCCAGAATTATTTGAAAAAAGTAATGAGAAAGCTACAGATGCAGAATGTGAAAAATATCCTGCTATACTAGGTGAGGTAAATTTGTGTAAGTATTCTGCGGTGTTGTGCTAGGAGCGTACTGTAATGATCAGTGCCCAGATAGGGAGGGGGGGTGGGGGCTCATCACCCAATGCTCCCTCCCCCAGGGAGCCTTTGGTGATGAATCCAAAATGACATCAAAGGAGGCTAGTGCCCAGGGTGATGATTTACTTTTGGTAACTTGATCGGGGGAGGGGGAGAGGGTGTGTTTTTATTGCAGAAGGGGTTCTTATTAGGAATCAGGTGCTTATTTGTTTTTGAACGCATGCATACATCTGGATATGAAAATACTTTAATGAAAACAACAGATACTTTAACTCAAGAACTGTAACAAAAGAGGCTCAGATGAGAAAGCATAGGAGTTCTCATGAAAAAAAGTGGCACTCCATGAACTTATTAGGAATGGGTTTGAAACCTCAGGAAGGCAGTCCCAAATATGCTTTAAGTTTTCTTAATCCCTTTAATCTTGTTTTCCTCTGTGAAAGCCTGTATTTACTGGGTTTTTTATCACTGTAAATTTTATTAAAGAAAGTAAAAGAATATGCATTTATTTGCAGATTGATAAACCTATTTTATATTTGAAGTATAGTGGACTCTGACTGTCAAAGTGTTCATTGTTTGTGTTCTAGAATTTCTTCCCTATCGTCGTATGGACTGGTCAGCACGGAGGGATGAAAAAGGCCATTCATATTTTTGTTCTCATGGCTATGTGTGTGTCCGTGTAGACATGCGGGGATCTGGGGACTCAGAAGGATTTATTTATGATGAATGTGAAAGACAAGAACATGAAGACTGTTGTGACGTGATCAACTGGATTTCGCAGCAAGACTGGTGTACTGGAGATGTTGGTAAGTTAAATTTTAGAATTGAGTTGTGGCTTTACATTCCCTGTCAACTGGTGATCACACAAGAACCCCTGGGGAGGGGACTCCAATATAAAAAGGGTGTGTGTGCTTGTTGTACCTTTTAGGGGTTAAAAG